TTTTAAAGTGTTTTTACAGCCTACCTTTAAAAAAACAAAATTACTACTTAATAAATTCCCCAATGAATGAGATGAAACAGAAAGCAGAGACCTTGTATACAGCAAAGCCCCTTTCCAAATTCTAATTACCAGTCATGAGGCACTGAAGCCAACAGACCCAAGGAACTGCCATATATGAACAAAATGTCTATCACTGTAATATGCACCTGCACACATGTGTGGTGAGCACCTGCACTGGGAGGGCCTTCAATAAACTAGCTTCCTCTCATTTATGAAGCAGACAGAATAGCCACATTACACAAGAGTTACTGAAGTGCACCTAGTGAGCAGCAGTGCCTGACTTAGACAGGAGAGACCTGGCCTCAAGTTACCAATCATTAAAGGTCATTAGGTGGCCTTGTGCAAACCTTTGCTCAGCCTAACCTACCTCATAAGGTTGCTGCAAAGATAAACTGTACATATTTCAAAGATTCTTGGGAGGAAATAATAAAAATGGGAAATAAGTGTCAGAACATTGTGGAAGTTAAGACAATGAAGACAAGCACCATGACAACATACTCGCTATAAAGAGAACTTTAAGACATCAGCTTGTCCTACCTATCTAGTCGAAGTTACAAATCACATCAGAACCCCTACAACCCTGTAGACAATACAGCCCAAAAATCAAGCCCATGACCCCACAGCGAGTGCAATATGATGATTCACTTAGGGGCTAAGGAGCAAAGGAAGCGAAAACCCAAGGCTCATTTCCACACTGAACTTTCCAAGAAAGTTCTAATATGGAACACAGTCCACCAAACACAGAAGACAGTCTTTCAGAAGGCCTCAGACATCCTAGAGAGGGACAGATGCTAAAGATGCACCTGTGAACAAACAGTCACATCAGTGATGGAGGGAGCAGACCTTGGGTATCAGGCAAGATAAGTGAGGAAAATCTGATCAGCCAGGGGCTGCCTAAGTGAAACAGGCCTCCAACTCCAAAAACTCAAGGACCACGGCACTACATATAAAAAGATGCCTAGATGACAGCCGCAGAGCAGCTCAAGATGCCTGCAGCACATTCAATGAATTAACTGCTTTAAATCAGTTTACTATTTAAGCTTTTTTTCTTCTGTGTCTTTTGTATGATGTAGCTGATAATGTTAACACTGATACAGATTATCACAAAGCCAGAAAAATATGAAGCTCATCCTGCTTCAGATAATCAGCAATTTGTGAGTCATGGTAGCAAACAAAGGTTTGCGGTCAATATGCCTGGAATTATTTCAACATAGCCCAAATTTACAGTCTTTGGAACAAATGTAATTGTATGAACAGGCACTACAACTAGGGCAGGCACTACGACCTTCTGTGTATAATCTGGATGACTAGAAACTAATCTTTTTTATGGGTAATTTAGCAATTTGGACAATATGCAAAAATCACAGTATAAAGGCAATCGGCTACCAATATGAAAATTGCCAGTACCTGTGAGCATTAAATATACAGGTATTTTTATTCTATGTAATTTCTGGGTATTGAAGTGCAACCCCCGCAGCCCAAAATGCCCTCTGACATGTTAGGGGACTGGGGACTGCCAGGAACAACGTGAGAGGGAAGCTGAAGAGCTGCCATGAGGAAAGAACAGTCCTCTTTTCCATGTGCAGATCTCTTCAACAGAATACAGCCCAAATGCATACCACTGCAATGATGATCAGAATTTAAAGTTTGAATGTATTAGTAAAAATTAAAACATAGCCCTTGCTTTAAAGTGCTGTAATTGATCCTGCCTATTTTTACAGAACAGTACATGCTAACCATTACCTGTCCCTCACATGAGATGAGAAACTGTCTCCAGAAACTAAATGAAAAATAATGTACAAGCTATTAGGGAAAAGTGCATGCTTTGCATGCATGAGGTTCCGGCTTCAATCCTTTGCATCTACCTTGAAAAATTATCTCAGGTGCATAACTAGGAAGATTTCACTCAAAGCCTCAGAGAGGCATTAGAATAGGCAACACTCTCACTTGATTTCAGACAGCTTCCTACTACCGTAAAGTACTCATTCACAAATACATAATTATATTAAGATTTTCTCTCAGTTCTATTTTACACTCCAATTAATTTACAGGTTACTCACCACTTCAAAAGTTCTCAATTTTGGCTGAAATACCGAACATCTGGCTATTGCTTGTACAGCACCTACTATTGATCACTAGAGGACCAAGATTTAGCTGTGTACACAAGGAACACTTGTTAATTTTTAACTTTATATTTAGTTTGCATAACTTACAAATCTGCACATACTAAATACAAATTCTGTGTTTCAAAAGTCAAGTAAGTTCTCTGAAGGGTATACTACTATAAAGCACTTGGAAGAATAAGCAGAAATTAAATGAGCTGAGTTGTACCAAATTCATTCAACCATTAAATATGGAGGGGGCGGTGTTCTGAAGCAATATAACTGAAACTATTTAAAAATCACTTCCTTTAACATAAACTCAAGAAAATTCCTTCTTTGGTACTTTTATGTGGGACAAACATTTGCACTCCCAGGGAACACATTATGGTCAACATCCTTCTTCCAACACAAGCTTAATAATTATGAAAAAGTAACATACAGAGTGCCCTGATTACAACTTTTCCCTCAATTAAGGCAACACTGCACAATTCAACTAGCTAAACAAATATTATTTCAATAGTTAGTACCCCCTTCAAAGCAACAGCGCCCAATAACAAGAGAGAGAACTTGCTACGGACTTGAAACCTCCTATCTGTTGGTTAGGTGGAAACCAATGGAACCACATAATGCCCAAAACAAAGAATCTGGTGAAATCTTAAAGACTAACAGATACATTATGGCCTAAGCTTCTGTGAACCAGTAACGTCCACATTTTAGTTACAACTAAATTTCCTTGACAGCAACGAAGCTTCCAGTGCACACAAGAATGTGACTTAATTTAACAGGACTCATTCCCTAGTAAGAGTGCATAGGATTGCAGTTAGTTTTGTTGTGACAGTAAGTACAATCATATATTAATATCTTTATAAAGCCACATGACACAGCATATATTCACTGCACAGCCTTAGGAAATTCAGTAGGAAGCACAACCAAATTGAAAAGATAATGTATTTGCAAGCTTATTTCGGAGAAAGTGATAAAAGGACACCAAAATACATCATAATACACCTACAGGTTACAAATTGCTCCTAATTTTTTGTACAATGTTTCTGTCTCCTCATTTAATAAGTAACATCTGCATGCAGTTAAAGTCAAAATATCAAATCCATTAGACTTGTACTTAAATTATTTGGATTACTTTTGCCAGTGTAAAATATCCAAACAGAATTAACCAGCTAATATGCAATTAAATTCTATTATGAGATGACTAAGATTCTTTAATACTGTGGTTTAGACTATTCTGCTTCAATAGGATACTTACATGATGGAAACATCTCACTTGCATATAAATAAGCAAATAATAAAACCATACAGGTAAGGACAATAGTGTTACTATTTTATGACAAATATGTCAAAGAATATTCTCCGTAAAAAGCTGAATACTATTACTTTTCATGACATAAATTACTCACTCCTAATATTGTGCAAACTGCATATTATTTTAAATGACCAGGATATTCCCATATAAAATTAATATTGCTAGTATAGTTTCAATAACAGTACCTTATCCTCCAAAATGGAGGGAAGCCACCAACAGGCTGATATACTGAACAGTGCCCTCACTTCGTTTAGCTTTTCTTAAATTTCTAGATGCTTTATTGCAGCTTTAAGTGCAACAGAATCACCTACACCTTAACTCCGCTACACATTATGAACACTTGCAGCGGTACAATTGCTATACCACAAGATCCAACTTCAGTTCTTTACTTGTACCTGTGTCATAATTGTAACTGAAAACTGGATTAATATCTTGTATTTATCTGCTTCCTATAGCTAAAAAGATCTACAATCAGCTGACACAAAGAACCTACCGTATGTTCATGTGTACACTGACCACACCCCCAATGGATCTATAAAACCAAGAACTGAAATTATTTCTTTACTCCCTAACTTAAAGCACTAAAACTCCCAACTATACACCAGATGTTTGACTTCACAAACCTTATGTTCAAGCTCATTTAATACCAAAAAGTTACTGAGCTCAAAGACTTAAAAAAATTCTTTATCTGAAGGCTTAGTTTACAGTTTTAGTAAAATATCACCCACATAAGACATGTATTAAAGGAGATCACACAAGTTACATTTCAAATGAGCCCTAACATTAACCTTTGCAACCATTATTATTTGCTGCATATAAGACACATTAGAAAGACACACATTAACCTACATCACCGTCATTTAGGATCAAATAAGCACTGAGCCTGTTCCTGTTTTCAATAGGCAGCATAAAACACAGAAACCTAAGCAGATAATACCTGTGGCCATCCCTCCATCTGTAGCTGGAAACGGTATGTAATTGATCTACAGTATACATTTTCTATACCACAAAAACCAGCATTTTCCAGAAGACAATGGCATTAGGCCTATGCAGAGTGCCCAGCTCTTTGTCAGTAGACAAAGTCTTCACATACACCCCACCACAAAACAGAGACACACCAAGTTACATTATACAGCAGACACTGAAACAAACGCACAGGATAATCGCTGCAGGATTCTGATGCAACAGCTGTACATACAGTAGTGATTTCCACTTCAATTCCATCTCTACCTTTTAGTGCCAGGCCTAGGCCTGAGCCTGCCAGATTCTCGCTGGTGCAAACCTGGAAAGTGGTGGGGAAGTGGGGGACAAGAATCACAGCAGCTTTTCTGCGAGAACATGGCATCCCCGATACAGGAGAAGAGAGAAGAATCAAAGGAAACAAGCACGGGTCTCCGAGAACGGGAAATATGTGCAGCGGGGAACAAGATGTTAAAGAGGATCCCCCCACCTTTCAAAAAGGGAAATAGACGTTCGCCCCCCTGCCCACCCCCGCCAGGCCTGCATAAGAGCTAGGATACAGGTCAGGTCTAAATCGAAGCCGTCCTCTTGGTATCGCCTACCTGCTGACCATCTCCTTGATGATGGCGGTCATGTCTGGGAGCCGGGAGCCGCTCAGGAACAGCGAGGACAGGCACGGCGGCGGCGCTGGCGGCTGCAGGGCGCAGATGGCTCGAGTCTTGGCGGAGGAGGCTGCCCCCTCTCCCCGCCGAGGCTCGGGCTGAGCAGCCAGGCGGCGGCGGGAAAGCAGCCCGGCTGCCCCCTTCGCAGGCGTTGCAAGGCTGGCACCGCGGACAGGGCCTGCTGCTGATGCCGCCGCCGCCGCTGGTCCTCCTTGTGCCGCCGCCGCTGCCACGGCCGGTTGCTGCGGCGGCGGCGACTCAGGCGAAGGCCCAGCCGAGGCGGCAGGAGGGGCCTGGCCAGAAGGCGGCGGCGGCGGCGGGGAAAGGAAAGTCCTCTTGCTGCAGCAGCTCCCGATAGTGGCGCGACTCCTCGCTGTCCCTCCTGCGGCCGGCGGCACCTGGAGCGCGGTGGATGGGCAGAGCGCGGGGCCAAGTCTCTCCGGCGGCGGCGGCGGCGGCTGCGCTGCTGCTCCTGCTGCTGTCGGGTGAGGAGAAAGAGGAACCGTCGTCGTCGTTGTCGTCGCCGCCGCCGCCGCCTTTGAGGCGCTCTCCCTCTTCCCTCTCAGGCGGCGGCGCCCCAGCAGGAACGGTGACAGCGGCTCCGCGGGGAGAGGCGAGAGGGGTTCGCCCTCCCCCCTCGCCTTCCTCGCTGCTGCTGCTTCGCCGCCGCCGCCGCTGCCCCCCTCCCGCCCCGCCGAGCTCCGCTCCCTGCACGAAGGGGGGGCCGGCTGGGCGGGCAGGTTTTAAGATTCAGCGGAGGCGGCCGCCCTCCGAAGTTTGGCTCGGCCACTGGCTGCCCCTCGCCAGAACAGGCGAGGGTGGGAGGCGGGGG